TGGGGTTCAGTATCTTGCTCAAGGATACTTCGACATGTGGCACCAGGAGCCGGGGATCGAACCAACAACCTTCCGATTAGGGGACGACCCGCTCTGCCTCTGAGCCATAACCGCAAGGGTAGTAAGAAGTAAGGGTACTTAATCACAAGCGCCAGTACCCGGGCCTGTTTCAGGCACTGGTAGTGTTGACAGGTAAACAGTTTGTAAAACACATACGTCATACTGCATTGTACAAGTAGAAAACTGGGAGCAGCAGGTGAAGACATTCATAGCCTGACCTTTTTGCACATGCTGTAGATGACCTCTAAGTGCTTCGGGTTGGACAGGAGCATGTCTGTGTCCACGGTAACGTAGTTGTGTAAGAGAGGCATCATATCTGTAAAACAAGGACAGACAATTAATATTAGCACCATTCTTTCTGGGTCGGCGTGTCAACATGCAAACCGCAACATTTACTTTTCAGGTACATTGCAGTGCTGTTCAAGTACTACAATTCAGTTTTTTCTTAAGTATTCATATTAGCTGAGAATTCTAGTTTGACTGCCTTCCCAATCTGGTTTTAGGTTTCCATCCAAATGTAGTGCAAATTTTAAGCGAAATCAGCAAAAAATGTGAATTAGGGAGATGCATACACTCCAAATGGATGTTAATGTAGCTCTGTGTCTGCCTGATGAGTAAGTAGGCAGCTGTTTGCTAACACGTTCAACTTGACAACTTTTTAAGGTGATATGTCAATGTGGCGTTCACAGCATGTCCTGCTGCCCCCTATTGGGTGAAAAATGCAGCTTTAAGTGGATCAAGATCATCCTAGTTAGATATTTGTTTAAACAAGGAAGTTTAGATATGTTAAGCAACTACTAAAGCTATTAAGGAAATGCCTTACAGCCTAGTGATTTTCTTAAAATTTACATGGTGATGAACACAAAATTCCTTAATGCAGCTTAATAATTATTTTAAAAGCAGATAGATTTCCTGCTAGAGATAATCAGCAGCTCAGAGTGGAAGTATGCTTTGTTGTGCAATATCTGTCACTGTAAAACTGTATAACTCATTACAAAATACATGACATTTTGCCAAATCGGCCACTAAATCAGACTTCTTCTACCCTCAGTATTGTAACGTTACTTCTCCACATACCAACAGAGAGTATCTCCTCAGCTACTTAAAGTGTTAATGAGCGACTGCGAGCACACTCATGTGAGACACACCTGTAAAATAGTCAAAGCAGTCGTGCTGGAAGACCTCATAGAGGACACCCAGGAGCTGCCACATCTGCGGGGAGATGGTCTGACAGGTGAGGCCGAACGCCAGCGACAGGATCTCCTCGTAGAACTCTGCAGAGGACAGGAACGCACTGATAATGAATCTCACGCATTCACACATATTCACAATACATCCTGTAAGTTCACCTAGAAGTGTAAAGATGGGTGTTTATAGATGTGTTACATGAAGGTAAACTCCTTGACATAGCGCGAATATAAGAAGCGCCAAGGAAGGAGAAATGATTGGGATAAAAGAATGCACACAGAGCAGCGAGCCACGGCAGCGAGGCGTAGATGTGAAAAGTAAAGTGCGAGGTGAAAGTAAAATGCAAGGGCAAGCTTAAAAACAAGGAAAATGAGATGTTCACTGGCAGGGGATGTGGTGAAGCACACAACAGAGAGGCTGTTCTGGTTATTGGAAAACATGCGGAACATGTAAGGGATCAACAACATTATGCAAAAACATGCTTCTCCAAAGATAGCAAGAAAAGACAGAAGGTGCACACAGTGGAAATGGATGACAGGGATGATTTGAGAAAAAGTGATGAAGATGATGACACACTGGAATGTGAAGTGAAATCGGATGCAAATGTGCTTTTTAGCTTACTCCAGGACATTTATACTGATAATGATTGATTAATGTTTATTGTGGAAGGAAGGAAGGAAGGAAGGAAGGAAGGAAGGAAGGTAGGAAGGAAGGTAGGTAGGTAGGTAGGTAGGTACGTACGTAGGTAGGTAGGTAGGTAGGT